ATCATCTGGAAATATTTTTGTGGTATAGAAAAATAAAATAAGATCCATGTCACTTTGTTCTATCTCTTTTTTAAGAGGAAAGAGACACAAGCCAGGCTTAAGCGGTACATCAGCTCACTGCTCCTCAGGAGGCAGGAGAGTCAGAAGTTCAAGGTCATCCTGAGTTACACAGCAAGCTTTTGGGATGCATCGCCTTTCTCTTCCTGGGTACCAGGTATCCAACAAAAAAGGAAATTAAAGGAAGAGAGATTTCTGTTGGCTCATGGTTTGAGGAGGAACAGCCAATCATGCCGGGAAGTCTCTGGAGGCAGGCGGCCCCACGGTAGCGGGACTCCTCAGATCTTCCCGAAGGACGGAGCAGAGGACAGGCTAGAAGCAGAAATAGCTCCCCCTCCCTTCCCAGTGACTTCTTCTTCCAGTTATGCCCCGCCTCCTAAGGGTTCTCCGACCTCCCCGCAGAGCGCCACCAGCTGGCGGCCAAATGTTCAAACACATGCACTCGTGGGGGACGTTGTACATTCAACCCCAACAGCATTAGTTCTTCAGTTATAGCCTTTTTTTTTCGGGGGATGGAGGGGATTCACTTCGAAACAGGGTTTCTCTATGTAGCCCTAGCTGTCCTGGAACTTGCTTTGTAGACTGGGCTGGGCTCCGACTCACAGAGATCTGCCTGCCTCTGCTTCCTGAGTGCTGGTGTGTGCCGCCACGCCCCTCCCCCAGCCAGATAAAGCCTGTTAGAGGCCCTGACTGACCTCCTGTGGCAGATTTTATAGTGCCTAGATGAGTATTTCAAGCTGTTGTATTTAACGGAGCGCTTACAAGTTAAAGCTATGCTTCATGAGGCCCTCAACCAACGCTTGTGTTCTTTGATCAAAGAGAACATAACTGAACAACACTGAGGCCATGTCAGTCACGCCACCAAGCGTCTGGACCCATTTGTTCAAGATCAGATAATTACAAACTCCCTACGGCTTGGCACCAGCTAAACATAGTAACAAGTGGCTGGTTGTTTTTCTTCTTTTCATAAAATCCTAAGACTATAGAGATAAAAGGCCTTCCAAGGGCAGACTTCCTCATGTGAGAGCAGAGAACATTTTTTTGTTTTGTTTTATTGCTGTGATAGTGACTCACTATGTTGCCCAGATTGACCTTGAACTCATAACCTTTCTGCCTTCAAGAGCTGGGGTGAGAGTTGGGTGTCGCCAGGCCAAACTCAGAGGGAATAATTTTCAACTAAGGTGTTACAGGGGATTTTCCCCAAGTGGCAGGGTTCATTCATCAGAGCCCCGCTGAGAAAGTGTCCTTGGTCCTGTCTGTAGAGCCTTTGAGGGTGTGGCTTTGGCTCTCATCAGGCAGCACCAGTCAGTTCCTGAATCGGGATTGGCTCCCTCTGCAAGCACTATCATCCAGTGATATCATTAGCCAGCTCCTCACTGAAGGCTGGTATCTTTGGGTAAAAATTTAAAAAAAAAGTAAGCCAAGGGGGCGGCTAACAGTCTGCTAGCAGTCCCTTCCACGAGGACACAGCAGCTGCAGAGTTTAGTCAAGTTCAGACCCTTAAAAAGAGTGGAAAAAAAGAAAGCTCATACTTTCCAGTGCCTGGGCACCGCTGTACCAGCTAGCTGGGCACAGTGCCGTGGCAAAAAGAAAAAAAAAAAAAAAGGTCTTCAGTTTCAGAAATCCGAGACCCGACCTTGCAAACAGGGAGGGACACAAGGCTGCCGCTGGGGCTGATTGTGGCATTTGGTTTGTTCCTGATCTCATGTCTGCCCATAGTTACATTAGACATTGCTGCTGTACTACGCTTCAGGCCTCCAGGTGAACAGAAGAATGAGCTATCTCAGAAAGGACGTGTGTGTGTGTGTGTGTGTGTGTGTGTGTGTGTGTGTGTGTGTGTAGGCATGTATCTGCAGCTCTATGTCAATGTAAGCTTCCTCTTGCCCAGAGTTAGGCTGTTCAGGGAATAGAGCACAATTCAGATTTCTGAGTTGGAAGCCTGATTAATCTCTCTGTCAGTTACATATGGAAATAAATTAGTAAATGGTCCATCTGGGACTAAACTACTGCAGAGGCGATAAATTATCACCATCGTATATGTCGCTGGTGCTGAAGGCTGAGCTGTGCTCTCAAGAGCCGCTGAAAGATAGCTGGGTACTTGGCTGTGGTCAGGGAGGGATAACATTTGATGAAAAAAAGAATTCCGAGCAAAGAAATTTACCTTGAAAGATTTCTAGGGAGACCGGCTTGGTTGATGCCAAGTTTGTTCCTCAGAACTGCTATATCTGCAGACATTTAAAAGGGAGAGTCTTGAGGGCATACGGCAGATTTGAGTTTTATATTTTCAAAGGCTTATGTAATACCACGTCGTTAATTAATACCCAAGGTTTCAATAAATAGTAGAGTCCCTCATGTCTGTGCGAGGTTGTGTGCTGTGATTTCCACAGCAGCTTCCTTTCTGTTTTCTTACCTCAATTTCAACAAAGGTGGGGCAGGTCAATGTCTCTCTTTTCTTCCTTTTTGAGAAAGATTTGTTTGTTGTTCGTGAGTATCAAAGTACAACTTCTTGGAATGAGTTCTCTCCTTCCCCCTAGTTTAGAGGCAGGAAAGATATTGTTAGTTCTGGTTTTTAAAATGTCAGTTGAAGCCTTGGTGTGGCATCAAGTCCCATCATTGATAACCACGATACAGTCTACTTATGTCCATGCTCTGGAAGCAAGAGTGATAACTGAGCACAGAAAGTAGCACTTCTCCAGCTAGAGATACTGAATCTAAGTTTAGCTTTTTTTGGTCAACCTGAGATACTTTGTAATGTTAAAACCAAGAGGGTGTCAGGGCTTTGAGGTGTGATAGTGACCTGCCCCTTTGCAGAAAGGCCTCGGGCCTCCATGACCTCCAGATTCTTGTGTCTGCTGTAACATTTTCTTTTGTGTTCTTCCCCCTGGGTGGACAATGAGCTGTGAAGCCTTGGAGCCGCTGAGTGTCTCCCTTGCGGAAAATGCAGAGTAGTGAATATAAAATGTAAAATCTAAACATCAAACCAGGTACAGAAATCTTTAAGTGTCTCATTCACAGGACTGGAATTTCTAATTGTAAGTCAAGGTGTAGGCTGAGCAGCCTCTACACAGGGATTAGAAGTCACTGTCCCCTTGATCTCACCTCCCTGGATTTTGGAATTGACCTTGATTCACTCAGATCACCAACTTTTCTCATTTATCAGCCAGAACTGGTTATTCTGCATCTTAAATAAGAATCAAGTTAGGGCATTGCCTGTTTTTGACTCTCCTAATCTAGTGGCTTTGGATGTTTTTGTTTATTTGTTTGTTTAATTTAATTTAAATTATTTATTTGAGACAGCCTCATGTATTCCAGGCTAGCCCCCAACTTATTATGTAGCCAAGAATGATCTTAAAATTCTGATTGTGTGTGTGTGTCTGTCCGTCTGCTTTCTGAGTACTGGGATTACAGGCATAGACCACCATGTCTGCTTTTATAAAGTGTTTCATAGCATTGTGCCAACTGAGTTGCCAACCCTGTGTGTGTGTGTGTGTGTGTGTGTGTGCATGCGCGTGCATATGTGTGTATGGATTAGAAATCAGAGAACAACTTTCAGGAGTTGGTCCTTGCTTCTCACCTCTTTGAGGCAGGGTCTCTCTTGTTTGTAGGCGTAGGACGCTCCAGGCTCATGAGCCTGAGAGTTTGGGCAGGCCTGCTATCTCTGCCTCCCATCTCTCAGAGTGTTGGAAGGAGTGTTGTGGAACAGCTCCCAGCTTTTTGCATAGATTTCAATTTTTACATGGGATGCGCTCAGGGCCCCAGACTTAAACAGCAGCACATTACCCTACTGAACCATCCCCCTGCCACCCACCCCCTTTCTAGTCTTTAAAGTTTATTATGATTGTCATTGTCTTACTAACCAACCTGTGACTTCATCCTAACCCCAACCAGAAAGAAATGTCTTCCCCCTGGCGCCCTCTAGCCAACAGAAACACCTGCAGGTGTTTCATTCTTATGCCCTCCTGAGTGGGTCATGCATTTTGAAGGAAGTCCACCCCTTTCTTCTTCCTCCCTCGACAATCCCTCCTCAACCTTCTGTCTGTAATTATACTTCAGACATGAAGTAGAGAAGGTAGAATTTTGTTTTCTGACTGGATCCACGGACGAATGGATAATCTAGGATCAAAGGCAGGGCTCATGAGAACGTTACTCCCCACCCCTCTCCTCCCACCAGCCCAAGTCTATAGAACCTGGATCGGAGCTAAGATTCTTGTCTTTCTAGCAAAGACCTCAGATGCTGCTGTCCTAGGGATGCATGAGAGCCGTTGCTGTAAGGACCATTTCCTGCCGCGTTCACTCCAACCCTCACAGGATAATACTTTTCTTAGAGGATCCATTGATTGGTCATTCTTAAGGCCCCCCCGATGCCAAAAATGATCTTCTGGCAGAAATCTTTATGCAGTCTGTCTTACAAGCCAGCTTTTCTGTTGTCCGGCGTGATCAGCTGTGACCCCCTAGCTTGTGGGTTAAGTGAACTAGTCCCTCGCACTAGAAACTAGAGAGATCGCATTTGACAACGAAAGAGCCATTGACTTTGCAGCCTGAATACGGAGTCTAACCGATGGACCGAGGCTGACCTTGAACATTCGGCCTCTGACATTTTTCCTTTAGACAGACAAGTGTTTCAGGGGCAGCTCTAGTAAAAGAAAATGATCTCAGGAATATGTGGATGGCTTTTGCAGCAAATCAAGTAATGTCACAATGTCTGTGGCATGTATTTTCAAATTTCTGGGCCCTCTTGTGCCCCAGAAGCGGTTTCAAAAACACTCCATCGTGAAGGCCTCACTCCTTCACTCAACTATACAAGAACTGAGAGGCCCTGTGGTGATTGGCTTTTCACTGAAGTGTGTCATTTTCCAGGGTCAGGTCAGAGAGGACGTTCAGTGGGGCTTTGAGGACTCTCTGCTTCTTTACTCTAATCCCATCTCCCTTTTGCTCCACTCCAGCAGCCTCTAGAAGTGTCGTCTAGTGATAATGAAGGCACCTTTGTCCTTTCTGGAGCGATGCTGACCTCCGTTTCCTGGACCCATTCTGACTCAGGTAATCAGTCTTCCCCAGCCTTCCCTGGCTACCACCCCTCGGTAGATTGCGCGGAATCCAGGAAATACCAAAGCTGTATTTAAATGCAAATGCCGAGCTGGTTGTGTCTCCTTCCATTGCTACCCTTCCCCCGGTGTTCTTAATGATCAATTCATGCAGCTGATCAGACTGACATCACGTAGTCAATCCAATTTCGGCATTAAGATGATTGGAAAAATCTTGATTGGATTGGATTGGAAAAATCGCGTCTTTATTTGAAATTCTGCTGTGTGTCTTCGACCCGCAAAGCCACTCAAACATTGCTGGGAATGTTCATGCGAAGACAGAGCAGTACCTAACTGGTACCTGTACCTTGCCTTCCCTTCCCAGAATGCCATAACTGGTGTTGTACCAGTTATGTTCAGGGGAGACTATTGAGTGTCTGTTTTCTGCACTTGGGACAGATGGGGTGAAGAAGCACGAGGCTGTTTTCTATCCTCTGGGATTGCTCAGGATTGCCAGATTCAAGGCTCAGTCAGGAGAGGATGGCAGGTGGTGGGGCTCAGTTTGCGGTGGGGGCTGGGCGCTTACTATAGGGCTCCGCTTCAGGGAATCCACAGACCTCCAGATCTGAGGTTGGAGTAATTACTGAGGAGTCTGTGACCCTTGAGGCACCTCAGATGGCATCTAAAGGATCCCGTGGCCAGGCAGGCCTAGGAGAGTGACGTGGCACTTCAGCAGGAAGGCGGGACTGAGTCCTCAGTGAGCCCAGGCGACTGCACAGCTGACTGTCTCATTCCTAATCCTCTGTCCCAACCAGAGTCAGACCTCTCCTGAAGGCTTGAGCTGCCTAAGACCCCACAGCTACCTGGGCAAACCTCTCCCTGGAACAGAAGGGGCTCCTGGGGACGGTGCCACTGTTGTACAGCTTTGGCTTGGTGCTCTTTGTGGTCTATCTGCCTCTATTACTGCTTTTTGTTTTTTTTAATGATGCACACAACAGATATGATATGAAAGAGGTTTATTGGATGCAGATGGAGAGAGGAAAGGAGAGAGAGGGAGAGAGATGGTGGGGGAGGAGGCACCTAACAGAGAGAGGGGAGAGAGCAAGAGACTGAGAGAGAGCAAGAACAAGTGAGGAAGAGAGAGCAAGAGAGAGAAGGAGAGGCAGACCAGTCTCTAAGTACCTGGCCCAGATGATGTCATAGGACTCAGGTACTGACACAGTATGTTGTCAGGACCCTAAAGGTCCCCAAGGGAAGGCCAGCCGAACTGCCTGCACCACACAGCAATTGTTATTTACTCTTCCCTTGCAAACGTACTCCTCCATCCTTCAAGTGCTTTGGCGTACCACAGCCTGTATGAAACAGGCACTGTCCAGGGGCAGCACCTGAAAGGGGCTGTTTCTGAGCTAAGAAGTGAAATGGAAGGGTAGGCAACGCAAGCAAAGGGCACATGTTTATAAGTCCATGTGGGGAGTATTTCCAGATAGTTCCAAAAATCTGAATTCAGGGGCAACCTCAGGGACAAAATGAGAGCCACAGCTGGGAATGGGTAGCCAGACGCCGGAAGTAATTTTTGGGTTGTCTGCAGCAGGTGTGGCCCAAACCCAGTTCTTGGACGCTGCTGCTTTTGGTTCTTTTGTTTTTGTTTTTCAAGACAGGGTTTTTCTGTCTAACAGCTTGGGCTGTCTTGGAACTCATTCTGTAGACCGGGCTGGCCTTGAACTCAGAGAGCCACCTCCCTTTGATTCCTCAGTGCTGGCATTAAAGGCTTATGGCCCCCGCTGCCCAGCTAATGTGGTTTTGTTTGCTTGTTTGTTTGTTTGTTTTTTATTTTTTGAAACAGGGTTTTTCTGTGTAGCCTTGGCTGTCCTGGACTTGCTTTGTAGACCAGGCTGGCCTCGAACTCGCAGAGATCTGCCTGTCTCTGCCTCCTTGAGTGCTGGGATTATGGGCGCGGGCCCAGCTAGTGCTGCTTATTTTTTAAAGTGAAGCTGTGGTGAGTTCACAACCCTGAGTAATTCTTCAAGGCGCCATGGAGAGCTGCCAGCCAAGGTGCCTGCTCTTCTACAGAAACACCCAGACCACCCTGGACCTGCTGAGGCGTGTAAGTGCCCAGCCAGGCTCTGGGTGATGGAGGTCCTCAGGCCTCCTGACATCACAGCCATATTCCCCAGCTAGCAGGACAAAAAAGGGACAGAAGCACCAAATGTTGTGTCATCTTTGCACTGAACCAATGGAAGTGACTCTTCCCTTCTAAGCTGAGACTAGGACCCTGAAACTATATACAGCAGCTGGGAACCAAAGCAAGCTAACTGTTGGTGGAGATTGACGGGCTAAGAGAGGCGTTTTCATTTTGTCTTGTTTTGATATTCAGAAGAAAGTGAAGGCAGACTAAACTTTGTACCTTATAAGAACGCTATGAAGGGCTGGCAGAGCAGCTCAGTTCCTAGAGTGTGTGCCTAGCATGCACTCAGCCTTGGCTTCTGTTAAGGCTCAAACTCCTGGGTTTTGGTATCAGATTTGGAAGTAAGTAAGAAACGAACAAACAGGAAAGGACATGACTGCTCCTAGGCATGGTGAAGGAGAAAGGTTATTGTAGATAAACCTTGGGCAGAGTGCAGGGAATCATGTGAAAGAAGGGGGAGTTAGTAAGACCTGGAGAGAATAGGAGCTATACAAGGACCAAATCTATCTGGGCACAGGGGTCTTTTCTGAGACTGTTTCTCCAACCAAGGTCCATGCATGGATATAACCTAGATGTAGCCCATGGCAGCTCAGTATCCAAGTGGGTTCCCTAGTAAGGGGAACAGGGACTGTCTCTGACATGAACTCAATGGCTGGCTCTTTGCTCCCAAGGGAGGAGCAGCTTTGCTAGGACAAAGAGAATGACATTGCAGCAAGTCCTGAAGAGACCTGATAAGCTAAGGTCAACTGGAAGGGGAGGGGGTCCTCCCCTATCAGTGGACTTAGAGAGGGGCAGGGAGGAGATGAGGGAAGGAGGGTGGGATTGGGAGGGAATGAGGGAGGAAGCTACAGCTGGAATACAAAGTAAATAAACTGTAATTAATATAAAAATAAAAAAATTAATTAAAAATAAAAATAAAAAAGGGAGAGCAAGGGCATCTGGGAGAGTCCATAGTAGACATGACACTGAGCCATGTTAGGAAGAGAGAGGGGAACCAGGTACAGCAACCAAGAGGGCAAAGGGTTAAAAAAAATGGCTGGATTAAATAGGGAAGAGCCTCTAAGAGAAGGGCAGCCTAGGCCCTGGGCTGGAGAGTTGGGCATGGGAGAGGCATAGAAAGCAAGGTATGCTAGCCATACCCTATAACAGGTAGGGACTGAGGGATGCTGGGATAACCTGGAGGCCGGGTCGGCTTTGATATCTTAAATAGACAACTTAGCTGCTTATCCCAATGTTTAAGGCTCAACAGGCCTCATCCCTAACACTCAGTAAACCCAAGTACTATGGATATACGTGTAATCCCAGCACGTGGCTGTGGAGGGAGGAGGTTGGACTTTTGAGGCCATCCTCCTCTACACGAGGCCAGCTCATATTGCCGGGGACCCTGTAATGTAACTGACAGGTTCGTGTCTCTAAGCAGGGTTTTGTTAGGGCCAAAGCTCTCTGTTCATTCATCTCTGCATTACGAAGGCAGCGTTTGCACTACAGTGAAGAAGTTGGACAGGCAGAGCACACACCATACAATATTTACCATCTGACCTTTTGCAGAAGTTGGCTATCTCCTGACCTAAACAATGGTGCAACACATGAATCTGCAAAATTTGAGGTGTGGCTCACTCCCCAGTAAGAAAATCTGGTTGTATAATGAGTAGATTAGAGGAGGAAAGAGGGAGTGGGAGGGATTTTTCTAGATAGGCTCTATTCCTCACCTTCCAGTTGGATTTTCCTGGGAGCTCTGTACCTTGCAATTCAATGTAAATACATCATTGAAGCCATTTCATTTCAGGAGCCTACATACACTATTAGGCTGGTTTCGCAGAAGGTACCAGGCTTCCTGGAACAACTTAAATGTTGGAATGGTTGGGCACCAAATTAAAGCAAACCTTGCATTTTGGACACCTGCCCCATCCCGTCCCTCCTCCCACTTCTTTGACACGAGATGTGAGCTATTTTATTTTACAGCAAATAAATATTTGGTTTTAAATTAAGTAAGTGTTGCAGGCTCACCACGAATAAGCGATTTCATGTTGTCAGTGTTTTTCTGTTTTTGTTTTGTTTTGTTTCTTCCCCTGGAGCTGGTAGGATTATACGATACTGGAGCAAAGGTAAGATTGAAGTTGGAGATGGGGCCCCTGTCTTCCTGACTGGCTGAGCCTGGGGTGGCCGTTGAGATGGCTTAGTGGGTAAAGGCACTTGTTGCCCAGGGATGCAAGTTCAGATTCAATCCCCCAAACCTAAGTAAAGATACAAAGACGTAACTGACTCTGCAAAGTTGCTGTCTACACCTCCTCCTCCATCTTACACACACACACATACACACATACACGTAATGATAGCAATAATAGATGTTTGACTGTGTCAGTGCTAGAGAAATACATGGTAAGAGCACATTGCAGCAGGTGTGGGGGCACACGCTTTTGATCCCAGCACTCTGGAGGCAGAGGCAGGTAGATCTCTGTGAGTTCGAGCCCAGCCTGGTCTAGTTCCAGGACAGCTGAAGCTACATAGTGAGACCCTGTATGGGAAAACAACAACCACAAAAAGAGCACTCACTGCTCTTGAAGAGCACCGGGATTCCGTTCCCAGCTCCCACATGGAAGGTCATAACTGCCTATAACTCCAGTTCCATTGCCCGACATCCTATTCTGGCTTCCTGGATTCTGCATACATATACATAGACATTCATGCATGTTCATACACATATGCAAAATTTTAAGAAAATCTGTTAAAAAGATAAATATGTCAGGGGGCCTGGAGATACAGTTTCAATATACCTGCCTGGTGTATTGAAGTCTTAGGCTTAATAAGAAGCACTGTATAAACTGGGACTT